CCCCCACCCCCATTTCCTCGTTTCCTTTGATACCAGATTAGGTGACCCATGTGTACTTTAAATTATCAAGTGCAAGTCAATGGATACCATTTTACTCTGCTCATCGAACTGAGAACTAGATCTAGGGTTTTCTGTACAGGGATAACAATAAGAAGTGGAAAAGGGAGAAAAAGGAGGTGAAGAAAGAGAAAGTAGCAGAAATTAGTCTCTGGATTTATCTCCGCTGAAAATTACATGGTTAATAATAATAAGAGGAGGATAAAGTTTGTTGTGCTCTGGCAAAATGCTTGTTTGTAGTATGTAACTTCGTAAATTGGTTGTTACATCGCAAGACTGATTTTACGATTAACAATTCCAAAGACGGATTACTTGTAATAGTTATTATAGAATAATTTTGTTACTGGGCGTGGGAGAATATATATTTCCTCATCAATTACTGATGGATGATGTGTATCGTTACTGTGTGATTATAAATAACATAATGACTTTTGTTAGTTATATTTAACGTAAATTAACTCTCTTTCGTTTTAAATACAGATAAAACATACCTTGGTTTTTACTTACTTGTAGATGGCGAAGATCAAATCACATCAATAAATCTCTTGAAATGATTTTAAAAACTTAAACATTACATAAGTAGGATAAGAGATAATTAATAATATGAATTTACATCCCTAAATTGTAGACTACTGAATAAGATACAATGGTACATGTATACAAATGCCTCTGCCTTTAGTGTACCTGATATTTCAGTTAAGAGTGTAAGCCTACACTCTTGCAACATCTTTGTTACATTGTCAGCTTTGTACATGATGTCGATATGTGACAATCATATTATGGCAGTGCATTTAACGCTTTTTTTTTCTTTCATTTTGTTGCAGGTGAAAAGTTTTCCAAAGATGAGATGGAAGAAATGTTGGGTCTTGCAGTTGATCGTATCAAAGGAACTATACTCTACAAAGAGTACACACGAGTTATGGCTGTAGATGAATACGCACTTTAGGCATTAAGCATCAAAAACCCTTTTTTAGCAGCAATTACTAAAGGCTACAGTTTTCAGTAAGTAATATATAATAAGGAATGAGAGCACCATTTTTCAAAGTTAATGGTAATGTTTCTTAAAGTTATAGACAAAAAGATGAGCATCAGACAACACCCCACCCCTCTTTTTCCCATTCTCTCTGTGCACTGGTATGAATGGCTGTATGGTGTTGCAATTGATTCTGTAACACAAAGTAGGTCACAGAAAGAAATTAAAATTGATAGAGGGAAAAAAGCTGAATTTAATTCTTTACCTAACCTGGATATCATTCGATTGTTCAGATTAATATACATGTCAACACTTAACCATTCCAATTGCTTGTACAGGTATGAATGTATAGTATAGTGTGTTCTGAAATAAATGATGTGATTATCCATGCTGATAAGATTAGTGTTAATAACTATGTTTTATATTTGAACTTTTAAAGATCTCTCTAGTCTATAACTAGTGTTTTACTTTTACTATTAAAAATTTAAGGTCCAGTCCATTTATAACAGCCTCTGTTATTACAGGAACTTGGATATAACAGTGATAAATCAAATCCCTACCCTTTTTTTCTCTCTATAAGTGTAAGTAATATGAACCAGGCTATAACAGGGTTCAATTTGCACAGACTCGATAACAGTGATCTTGCAGCACATGAACTTGCTTTCAATTTGTCAAATTATTAATATTTGTCTCAACCAAGACATTTTGCCTGTTTGTATTTGTATTATCGCTTGCCTAAACATAAACTTTCAAACACATATCCCCACATAGTGTTGGGGTCGCGGATCGATTCTGTCTCAGTGTCAGCAAAGCATCCCACTGGAAAAGGATCTGCGGTAATCGAATATATAGTAAGCTGAAGGTGCAATGGTACTAGTAGTTTCCCTTGATATCGTTTATAACATGACTCGCTTATAACAGGGAAAAACAGCCGGTCCCGTCTGTCCTGCTATATATCCGAGTTTGACCGTAATTTTTCTATGGGGGGGGTTCTCCTGATTTGTCTTATATCCTTAGTAAAGGAATATACAATCCTATGGCTAAATATTTGAGAAATCCACTGTGTCAAAAACAATATTTCTCAATCAGAAAAATGCTAGGACGTTGTATTCCCCTCTGTACTCTGTACAAGTTGGCCTTAACCTGCTGGGTCGTAGCCCGCCTAAATTAAATGACCTAAACAATGTTGATAGGGTTGGAAAACTTCTAAAATTACAATCTGCTTTGGGACAAAAGGCATTGCATTCTAAAGGTAAAAACCCTAGAAAAAACTGATTACCGGTAATACATGTATTTGGTCTCATTCTCAATCAGGAAGACATACAAAATCCTCGGTTAAAGCACTTTTTGTGAAACAATATTTTAAAAGTAATTCAGATTATTTAAATTTAAAGATCCCATGTGCGAAAGGGATAAAAACTGAAGCTCAAATGTTGGAGCTTACACATTTTTTCATAAAGCCTTTCATCTGAAGCCCAGGAATTAGAGGCAGACAAACATATTTCAAGAGTAAAGTTATTAACGAGGCGGGACTTCAGACTTTACTTTGAAGACCATCATTTAGACTTAGAGAACTATACTGACAAGATGTCCAACAACCCATGTATGTGTACAAAAATGATGTGTTCCAGATTTGAGCCAGATTCACATGCATCAGTCCAGCAATACAAACAGAGCTAAACATTGCTCCCCAAGAGAGAGAGAGCTCATCTGCATTTTTTTTAAACAGTTTGTTTTGCACAGTGCACTTCATCTTGGTGTGGATAAGATATAATATCAACGCCCCTTTCAGGATGGACTAAGCATTCTGAGACTTAAGTCTAAGGCAGATATATATTATATATAAACTATATACATGTACATACGTCACTATATATGAGGTGGAATCGGGTGATCGACAATTTTGGGACATGTGAAGTTATCGGTACCATCGTAAAGCTTATTTATGTGTGTTCTTTTCGGTGAAAAAATACCTTTCTATCTAGAAAAGAAGTCAAAATATTTGTGATTGAAAGAGGTAGGGATAGCCAGATGTCAACGGTAAAATTAGCGAGATGACCGCCAAAGTCAGGTGACTGCCAAAGCCACAGTGTCCTTGGAAACTACAAAATTTCCATTTTTTTTGCCTTTGATCAACATTTTCAGTAAAATCCATTCAGGAACGTGTTTTTATGCATAAAAGGTATCGAGATCAATACAATCGATAAAAATTGCCAATCGGGCGGAAATATTGATTTCTTCAATTTGATTATTTTGATGAGCACCTGATTTCACAATGATGCCTCACATATATATATATATATATATATATATATATATATATATATATATATATATATATATATATATATAATTGAACCAGCTCCAACGACCACCTCTCTCAGACAATCACTTGTAGTTTGTACAAACAACCACTTCCCACCTAGCCTTTTTTCTACACTATCTTTGATGACACTGTCAAAGACACCCAACAGTCTAAGACAACCATTTTCTCCTCAACAATGGGTGGCCCTCTAGGACAATTTCAACTGTATGGAGTTGTGGCATCCACAGATCCAGCAACATACATATTCTACTCTAGGCATCAAAGTCATAAAATTAAGGTTTCCTATCATAGAACATGAAGCATTAACTCACTCCTTATATGGTGCAAATTATTTTATAACAGCCAATAATTCCTGCAGGTTCAGTTACTGTATAAACCACACTGTATTTTCAGGAGAAAAAAAACAACAACAACCCAGTAAAAACAATATATGAGTTGTCAAACAAACATCAAGATGCTTTATTCTTCATTAACTCTATCCAACAGTAACAGCAAAACATCCCCACTTCGGTAAAGCAAACAATTTAACCAGCTCACTTTCTATAATAAAAACGACAACATATCAACTTTACTACCTATAAAGTTTTCACTTTCCAGATCATGTAAAGTTGACCCCTGTCATTCAGTTCCAACCAGTCAGAAACATTGTATTTTCACATAGACAACATGATCTGTTTGGATCAACCTGAAACATGCTGTCCTCTTATTACAGCTCAACTTTGAAATCTTGAGGTATCATACAACAACAAGCTCCAATGAGTTGGCAAACACTTAATAAAAAAAACAAAAACACACAGCTTTTAGAGAAGACATTTTGTGTTCAAATGACAGGTCACTTGTGTGCATTAATCTTCTCCCACACTTCAAATCTTGATAATTTGGTCATTCATTTATCAAACAATGCTTACCATAGGCACTTCAGTGAAATTTTCAAACTTCTCCGAGGGCACTAAAATTTGGATTAATGAAAAGAGCTTGGCTTTCTGTTTTCAGAGCTTTTTAAATTTTTTGTGCTAACTTTGTTAGTTTAGAAGCAGCGACCGTTTTTGTGAATCAATTTTCGCCCTGATTTGGCCAAATTTCTGCACTGCATTTTGTGCCACCAAAACCCGAAATTTTACTTCACAACGTCATAAAATCCTTAATAATAGTTATATCGTGACCATTGAGGTATCATTTTGTTTGCTGTTTTATGTAGAATCAATATATAAAAATAAAAATCAAGTAAATTTAGAGTAAAATTCTATTTACCGTTTAATTACGTCATAATCGTGACGTCGGGAGTCCAATGCTTATTACCCAAAAAAAGAAACGGGCACACTTTCCATAATAATGGTCCGATTTTCAAAAGAAAAACATCACTCATTTTGTTTTAAAGAGTTCTGTAACTTGCTATTGGGGAAAAATGATTGAAATTGAAAGCAGTTTCAATCTTACACGCATAACTCAAGCAGGAAGTTGGCGGGTGCTCTGGGGTGTGGTTTGTTCCTTTTTTCCCTATTAACAATCAACTTACGATCCTTATTCTCCTCGTTCTTTTCTGTGTATGTTACTCTCTTGTAACACCTCTAATCTTCGGGGCTTACATGACCTATTTGTGTTGCAAGTGCCGTTAAACCCAAGCATAACACAGACTTGAAGAATATGAAAAAAATTCAACGAGTATGGTATAAAGCGGGAAATCACCATAGAATATGACAATGACTCATATCCCGAAGAACAGCGACACCAGTTCTATGATCAACTGAGTGACCTTTTAAACACCATGGATGACAAAGACAATGTGACAATGATGGGGGACTTTAACGGCAGAGTGGAAACAAGGAAGACGACGTGGGAGGGATACATGCAGCCACACAGTGACAGGGAAACAGATCAAAACAGCAATGGAGAAATGCTATTACAGTTGTGTGCAGAACATGAGCTCGTCATATCAAATACCTTCTTCCAACACAAAAGGAGTCAAGTTAAAACTTGGTACAAATGTAATGATCTAAAGATAGCATCACAAATTGATTTTATCCTAGCCAAAAGATCGAAACTGATGTTTTTGTTTGTTTTAGTTGAAGTTTTATGGCGCTGGCAACTGCATAAGGTCATATGAGCGCCAATCGAAACTGAGAAAAATCAGACACTCAAGAGTGATTCCCATCTACATCACAGACACTGACCACAGACCAGTCATCATGACTATTGACACACCAAACAGGAAAAGGCCAGAAGCAAAGAAACGATGAGAAGGCGTAAATCTCAGAAATATAAATGACAATAACAAGGATAAGATACATGAACGTTTGAAAAATGTATTTCACAAATTTCCCCCAAAATTGAGAGACATGGAAGAGGAATGGAGCCACTTCAAAGCATGTGTGTACAGAGCATTAAAAGAAGAGTTCGGCACCAGGAAAACAAGAGTGCAGAATGACCAAGTGAAGGAAGCCGTCCAACTGAAGAAAAAGGCATTCAAAAAGTGGTCGAAATCAAAGACGGAGGAAGATTACATCCTATACAGAAAGGACCGCCGCTATACATCAAGGGTAGTAAAAGAAGCTAAGAACAGATCCTGGTCAGTACATGGAGAACAGCTGGTAACAGAATGTAAAGAAAACCATTGAGAGTTTTACTAGAGAGTTAAAAAAGCATGAGGAGGCGGGAAGAACCATTCAACCAAATTGAAATAGTCAATGATGAGCACGGAAAACCCTATTTTCAGAAAGCCAAAGATTAAGGAAAGATAGAAACGCTATTTCCAGGAGCTGCTGAATCCTACAGCAGAAACAAGAGCAAACAGCTTCTCACCGAAAGAAACCACTCCAGAACCATCACTACTGCTGAGTGAAATCCAACCTGTTATAAAGAATAGCCCCACAAACAAAGCGATGGGCGTTGAAAACATCACAGCAGAAGAGATCAAACTATACGGCCATATCGGAGAACTCTGGCTATGGAGGATATTTAACCTGGCCTGGGCGACAAAAACAACACAGAGCCTAAAAAGGAATATCCTTTCTCAGCCGTGTGGATATAACGTTTGCTAAGATACTGGAAATGAGGATGAGACCAATTGTACAGACTAAACTCAGTGAATCCCAGTTTGGCTACACAAAAGGCAAGGGCTGTACTGACGTTTTTTTTTTGCATTCGGAAAGTTGTGTGAGACTGCCATTGGACATGACAAGACCTCAATATCGTCTTCGTGCACCAAGAAAAGGCGTTCGACAGGGTAAATAGATGTCAACTTTGGGAAGTCTTAGAGGTTTTAGTAGAGGTTTTACGGCACCCGCAACTGCATAAGGTCACATGAGCACAGGGGCGAAGCGTCTATATAATCAAATAATCACTGCTTCCCTTCCTAATTTTGAAACATTGTCGCTGTCAAATTCATCCATAAACGTAAACCTCTTAAATTAAATGTCAAAAGACGTTCGTAATCAACAATGAACAGTATGCCTGACATTCAAAACGGTTTCACGGCCACAGAAATAGCCTCCTCACCCCTCTCGGGCCACTCCATAAGCAGTCGCAAGCTTTGATTGAGTAAGCTTAAAGTGAGGCTGGAAGAGTCCACCAATATAGTTGAAGGGAACATGTGCATAGCAGTCTAAGCTGTTTCATTGCCACATATACCCTGTTCACCCCTTTGGGGTCACAGTTAAAATCAATCTCAAGCCCTGATTATGTAAGCTAACTAACACTGGTCGAGTCTACCTCACAAATGTGAGGGGAACTAACTCCTAACAATCTCTTCACTGTTGCAAGTGCTTGCTTTTTTTCCTCGACTTTTTACCGTCCTATAATCAGATTGTGACCTCGATTATGACACCAGCTCCTGGCCGCGAAAGGCTAACAAAAACAGCCAAATGTAAAATTTTAAAAATGATAATTGTCATGTTCTACCAAAGAGTTAGACTCACTGGTAGATCTATAACATATAGATCTAGTACTGACGTCTCTGCTTCTTTTCTTTGTGTTTATGTATTCACATCTAAAGTTAAATTTAATTTTAGTTGGAACTGATATTTAATAAGATACTTTCCCGATTATTTTGGCGGTTGAACATACAATATGAATTCCGGATTTGTTTTCATTCACAACTCAGAGTCGCCGCCTCAAGTAAAATTCTTGTGTCATATCTACAGGCCATACCTGATCCCGTTTCACTTTGATTACCCTGTCAAACAAGTCAGCCTTCGCCCCTGCATGAGCGCCAAGGGGTGGATGTCAATAGAGAAGTCCTTACAGGGAATCAAACTTACTCTGCTAACCTTTCTAGCTTCTACAGCACACAGTCTGCTTAGACTATCAAGGCACCCCGGAAACAGCGGGTCACAAGAGTGTGACAAACATACAAAAGAAGTAGAGGAAAATGACGATAGTAAGGATTAGGAAAGAAAAAGGTGCAGTTCCCTGTTATAGTTCAGGCATAGCTATGAGCATGCCATTGTTCGATCAGCCCATTTACAATTCTACTGTGCATTAGAACGTCCCCTGTTTTGGAATGGCATAAAGACACTTCAGTCAGTGGCATCCCCCCAGGGGGTGGGGGGGTGGGGGGGGTAGTCTTAGAGTAATATGGTGTTAAAGGACAATTGCTCAAGAACATCATGGCACTTTATAAAAACAGCCTGAGTGCCGAAAGGTCAACAAAAGGACTATTGGACTGTTTCCCCATCACGTCTGGGGTGAGACAAGGGTGTGTCCTCTCTCTGCTTCTCTTCATCACTTACATGGATAAGATCACGAAAGCAGCAAATGACAACATCAATGAACTGAGCGAGCTTGTATCTGCTGATGACCAGAGTACATTAAATACAGATGAAGAGGAATCACAAAAAAACACACCACAAAATTAATTAATGAGGAATATAAACACCTATACATAAAAATCTTCATTTCAAAAACAGAAGTTATGAAGGCAAGAAAAAACCCAGGGAAACTCAACATCCTTGTTGACGGAACACAACTCCAACAAGTAGAGGAATTTAAATATTTGGGAAGTATCTTCTCACTAGTTGGGCGTAAGGACAAAGAAAAAGAACCTTGAAGGCAAATGCAGTGACCTACCAGCTAGCACCCCTTCTCAGTCACAAGAACATCCCAACTGAAGTGACATCCCCAGCTCATCAATAGAATCTTCATACCAACAATAACATACCAGGGCCAAACATGGTCTCTAAACAAGGCATGAGAAAGGAAAATCAATGCACGCGAAATCACATGTTTCTGCAAAACCACCAACGCCACCAGAGGAGACCGCATAAGGAACGAGACCATACGTCTACCAGTAGTAAATTTATGAGAGCGTCAAAGAGTCAAATGGTTCGGACATCTAACCAGAATGCCCCAGAAACAACTAGCGGCTAGAGCTTACCACACCCGCGAATCCGGCTTTAAATCAAGAGGAAGACCAAGAAAAACCTGACTGGATGGGGTTAAAAAGGCTCTGGAACAATATAACTAATTAGCATATCACAGACGTTGAAACCTGCACCTCCCCTCGACATCCTAAGGATACCAGAGGAAGGAAAATGTAAAATAAAGTAAGAAATGAGGAGCAAAAGTGCTCACTTTGTTGCAACTGGCATCTTTCTTCAGGGTTGTTTCATCAGTGGAAAAGAGTAATAGGCTTACACAGCTAATACCGTGAGTCGTGGAAGGATGGCGGCGGTGGCGATTATAAGACAAATAAGACAAGAAGGATATATAATAAAGAAAATGTATAAAGTTGAAGAGCAGGTAAAGTGGGATGGAAAAGAAAAAGAGAGGTACGGTTATGAAAATAAGAGGGAAGTGGGAACACACGAAACCACACACACACCCAGAGAGAGAGAGAGAGAGAGACAGACAGACAGAGAGAGAGAGAGAGAGAGGGGGGGGGGGGGCATGCAGTGGATCCCACAATCCAGTACATAACATTTTTCGTTCTTGTTCATACGACAGAAAAGAAAGAAAATCTGGATCGGTACTAACAATAGACCTAAGAAACTTTATCAAGCAAATAATTGCATCAGATACTTTAATAGGAGTCCCAATTTAATTTTTTACTGTGTTAACAACACGAGTCCGGACTCTTCATACTAGATCTAGGTCCTAGACCTACACAATGAAAGACTTTGGGCAGGGGAAAAAGGAGGGAGGGGGGAGCTCAGTGAAAAGAAAATACTTGGGTCTAAAATGTCTCGTTTTCTTTACTTTATACTATCGAATGAACTAAGGCCAAATGTGAGGTCAGTGATAATAAAACATTACAAAAATTGATTAATTTTTTGAACTAAAGTTTAAAAATCTCTTGGCGATGTATTTTCCTGTCTCGTACATTTCAAACAATGAAGAAAGGGAGCCAAAAGCTCAAGGCGAAAATGCGTGACGTCACGACTCTGCGCGATGTCACGGTGGAAGGGTTCAGCTAGGTTTTCGCGGATTTGGTTGATAAAAGGGTAAGACTACACTAGCCAAGGTAAGACTTCTACAATAACCATTTAAACGTTTTCTGGAAGAACAAAGAATGGTTTACCAACAAGGGTAGTTTGAAAAAAATATGACGAGAAAATTTATCAAAAATCAATGGTTAAAAATTGTCTATTTTTCAACTTGAAATATTTCGAGACTCATTAGTCGAACATCGACCTGGAAAGAAGCGTTTTGAAGGCCATCCACAGGTCTTTAAAGACATGTATCGGATTTGAATATTGGTCCCCTAAATTAAACAAAAATATGGGCAGTTTGAACCCACTGTCGCGATGAGACGTCATGTCCGGAAACAAAACCCTATGGGACTTTCCGAAGCCAAATGACGCTATAGTGAGCGCGTTCACTGAAGTGCCTACTTACCACTTTCACACAAACACACAAAAAATCAAACCCCAATTTTTTTAAAAACAACTCTCAATATGGAGCACACACACTTTTCAGACAGTTCCAACACAATTTTGTTCATCCCCTTAATAAAAAGCTGCAGCTATAAATGGAAGGACATCCTCATCTGAGCTCGAGTCTTCATATTTTTCATTATCCATATATCTATCAGGCTCATCATAATCATCATAGTCATGTTCCTCATCATAATCATCGGAGTCACGTTCTTCATCAGAATCCTCATAAACACGCCTGCAAAGCAAAGGAAACAAAAGAATATCAGACAGGAAGGGATACTGCTATTTGACAAATATGCTTACCACATAAAATATCTAATAAACAGCGCGCAGGCAGTATTGACGTCTGTATGCAACACTGCCCGCGAGCAGTAAAAACAATATTTTTATGATGTGCTGATGCAAGCAATTTACCATCAGTTCACTACAGCATGATGCTAGTTTTTTAATACGTTCTGAACACCCACCTAGATGTAAATAAATCATTTCAAAAGTAAGCATTTGCCAGAGTGATCCAAGTACACAAGAAGGGAAGAAGACAGTAGAAACAGGGGGCTCTCGTGGCCTAGAGGTTAAGGTGTTGGCCTCTCATTCAAAGGTCCCAGGTTCGAATCCGGGTAGTGACCGAAAAATTTTCTTCTCTAAATTTGTCTCCTTTCACCTCCTTTCCTGCTCTCTAGCAATGTTCTGTCGTCAGCTTTCGTCTCCTCTTTCTGCCCCCACTCCCTCATCTCCTTTGCCCCCCTCCCCTGGGCTCCTGATTCTTTCTACAGCCTTTCTACTGCTACTCCTTGGCTTCTTCTTACTGCTGTCTTTCAGCCACACCCCTGATCTTCTGGTAGGAAAGATCTACACCTAGCCTTCTCGGACAAGGGCAAAAAATCTCGGAGGGCACGTGTGCAAGTTGCGCACGCTAAAGATCCCTTGGTGGTCTAAAATCGATAAGAGCAGGCTTCGGCCGCCACCCGCGCAAAATTCAAAATTTCCTACCAACTGAAAAAGTTTAATATGTCCCGCGCGCTCATATGACTTTAAGCAGTTGCGAGCGCCATAAAACACTTACAAAAACAAAAAAACAGTGGAAACAATACACCAAAAACTACCACACCAACACATTCACCTCCTACTGAGATGCAGTAGGTCCAATACATTTGCCCCCACACCACCAGGGGGACAGGGGGGAGGGGGAGAAGACACACATGCTATTGTTAAGTTTGTCTACAGACAAAGGGCCTACACAGGGCAGTAACTTGAACTTAACGATATAAGACTCGGAAACAGAGACATTTTTTTTAGATTTAGGAGCCTCAGACCAAACTTCGCTCTGAATTCCCTTAAATGTTTAGCAAAAGTGTCAAGTGACAGCTGAAATTTCCCGATTCGTCCAAGGTCTGGTGTCATGTAAGAGTAAGGAGAGTCACTTTTCCTGATCAAGTGTCACATGAGACTAGGCAAGAAGGGTAACATCATGTCCATCTTACGGTACAGAACTCTCAACCACTTTGCCTTTACAATTCTACCATAAACGACATATTCGTTAAATTTATAGTTATAGCATGTACATGTATTCAGAGAAAACACCACTAAAACATCAAAGTATTGCACTATTTTGAAAGACTTAGTCTCTGCCAACATCATAAAACAAATGCTTTTGTAGAACTACAGTTAAGATGGTCACTCATTGTAAACGAGAAAAGTGGCTGTCTTACACAGTATCATTATAATATAAGAAATACACAAGGGAAAAAAATGGGAAGTGGGAATGTCTTATAAAAGGGACCGTTAGAGCAGATTCGACTGTATTGTTTCCTCTTTTTGTATAATCTAAAATTTTTAATTTTTTAAAACCGAGATGCCAGACTTGAAACATGGCTTGACTCACATGTTAGGGTTAAAGGGTCCTCCTGTCTGGTCTTTGTCTGTGAAAAAAAAGAAAGAAAAAAAACAACCTCCCAATACTACTATATTGAAGGAACAGGTAAGTTAACTGCTGTAACAAACAGTAGGTTTAACATCAGAGACAATATGTGTCATGACGCGGTGGAATCAGGCTCTCGTCAATTTTTGGGCATGTAGAGTTATTGGTATCTCCATAAGTTAAAGCTTGTTCGTTTATCTTGCTTTGGATAAAAAATATCCATTTATCTTGAATACAAGTTGAGATATTTGCGAATTAAGGAGGTGGTGGTCAACCGGTTTCAGAGATAAAATTAGTGAGAAAATGGCCGCCAAAGTTTACATTAGTCTCCGCCTAAACGCACGCCATACAAAAGCACGCTCCGCTAAACGCACGCTTTCGTCATCAGACGGGTTTTTTACTATATGATTTAGACGTACAAACACACGATCGCTCCCTCTAAACGCACGCTCCAATCCATGAAATTCGCCGACAGGTAAAGCTTGACAAGGGGAAATTTTCACTACAACCTTTGAACCTGCACAGCTTGCATAAGACAAGCCTAGAAAATTGGTGAGCGTGCCCCTCACGCCGAACAAAGACAGTGATGGACAGCGTTTTCACATCTAACTTTCCACAGACGCATAGGTCAAGGACTGGTCGGTGAAAAGTTGGGGGGGGGGAGGAGACTGAAATGTTTTTTGATTGGACACTGGAAATGTAGATCTCTACCTTTGAGAGAAGGTTTCTGACTGGTGGTTTCTGACTGGTGTTTGAGTGACTGCGTGTAATGTTTTGTTAGATCTAGGCCTGATGCGCGACACACGTAAATGCCATAAAACACTAGACAGGCCTCTACAGGATTAAAGATTAGCCAAGTAAACTTAATCAGTTGCGCTCGAAGAACGCACTTGTTCAACGAATCACAAGAGAAATGTTTCTCTGAATGTAGAGAATGATTGCGCATGAATTTAGGGTCGGGGGTGGTCGCTTGGAAAGCCACATGGCTGGGCCATCATCTCTGTGACTTATGACTATCACCAACAGTTTCCTCTTAGGCTATCTGTTCCTGACGTTTGTAGTGCATATTCATTATATTGAGTCTATCTTTCTCCCCCCCCCCCTCCATCATTCAATGCCTTTGTATTCTTAAACTCAGTCGGGGAAACCTTCAGAAAACAGTCATGTGTCATCACATTATCTGCCAAAATGATCCCCTCTCTCCAAGGGAGGTCACTAGAGTAATAAGGAATTGAGATGACTGCGTCCCTTCCTCCCCTTGCAAAGGTTTATGTAAACGCACGCTCCGTATAAACACACGCTAAGGAGCCCTCCCGAGCACTGTGCGTTTAGGCAGAGACTACTGTAGCTATTTCCTTTGCTTGAGATTGTGCCTTTAATCCGAGTTTTTCAGTAAAATCCACATAGAAATGTGTTACTTAATGACTTAATGAGCATGAAATGTGTTGAGCCAAAGAAAACAAAAATTATCTAAAAATTCACAAACCTGCAGAAAAAATAATCTTCCCTTTGATTATTTTGACGAGCGCCTGATTTCACCATGCTGCCTCACATAAACACTCTTTTTTTGAAAGCAAACAGGGTATGATAAAAGGGGGACATTACACAACCTAATACAGCAGCATGCTAACAGCACACATCGCCTGCTTTACAGAGAGTTGTCCTATTTTTGAGGTAATGCCAGTGAGATTCCTGCCAGAGAAAAGGATCTGACTGCTTACCCTTATGTGTGGTGGCACAAGAAAACCCTAAACACAGGTCAAAATTTGCTTACTGAGATATACACATATATATTTAGATTCAGGACACGTTTCAGAGGACTTTCAAGCAAATATCTTCAATAGTTTAAAAGTTATAACCGTTTAAATAACGTCAGGTAGGGAAAGCATACAACAGAGAAAATGGCATTTTAAGTCATTTATTTTTGTTTACCAATCAGATACATTCATGGGCATTTTAGTTTTTTTCCCCTCTAAATGTACCATTCCTGGCAAACTGGTTTTGTGGTCATCTGAATTTCCGTGAATAAAACAAATGATTTCCTCTGGATATGCAGACGTGTCAGCACTGTTGGCTACTGCTGTAACTGTAACAGTCTGAACATTGTCAGAATCTGCTTTAAATACTTCTACAGTTTCACAAAGAACAAAGATATGATTTCATTTTTCTGCTTTATTGCACAGCACAAGGTCTAATATTTTATCTGCTCAGTAAACCAAATGTCAGTGCTCTATTTTGCCATCTTAAAACACCAGCCCAACTGGCGTATTCATTGGCTGCACACTCAACAATATTTGTGTGCAGTAAATAAGGTCAGATGGTTGAGGTTTTCACAAGGATTTTGGCTTGTAATAATGCTACAATTTGTTTACAAGTTTTGTGAATCCTTGACGATCTAAACCCATTCCATGAATGCAGCTTCACTAGTCCTACATCTCATGGAGACGGTTATTTGTTATTCTTAAGGTAAAGTCAAGAAATCATAAAATAACCATGTTAAAACTTAATACATTGATTTAATTACCAAAGATGCTTAAATTAATTTTCCGGTAAACCCCAATTTTGCCTCAATGACTCCTTATTGACTTTCAATAGCACTATCTTGGAAACACTCCAATGAGAAGTGAGGGATTTTTTGAACCACCACACATATTACCTGCTCACCCTAACCGCAATACTAGGCCATCATCTCCTTCTCCGGCCTCTTTTCTGCCTTCTGCCTCTACTGCCACCAGGTTCGTATACTACAAGGAAAGAACATAAAGCAAAAAGCGCCACATGCAATAAACCTGAATCTTAATGATTGGCAATAACTGTTTCACTTCCCCATTGGCACAATTTAGATCCATCTAGAAGGCATTTTGCTTTGGACCTACCTGCAAAGGGCACCCCAAGCTGTGTGGCATACGCTCCAGCAGAAAAATGGGGAAACTTGATTAAATACCCTCCCTATGTGATAATCAAATTCAAGATGTTTGCAATAAGCTCATAGGCCAAATCATTACTCCATACACATGCATAATTTGGATGTACACTGCAGCACAAAGCAGCTATACTCTAGAGCATTATTAAGATGGCTACCACATCGGCAAGGTGAAGAGATGCTTGTGAGTTAACGATTTATCTCTTTGAAATACTATTGACTTTAGTAATAGTCTTCAACATACAGTAGTCTCCGCCTAAACGCACGGTGCTCGGGACGGCTCCTTAGCGTGTGTTTATACAGAGCGTGCGTTTACATGAACCTTTGCAAGGGGAGGAAGGGACGCAGTCATCTCATTGCCTTGATATTCTAGTGACCTCCCTTGGAGGAGGGGGTCATTTTGGCAGATAATGTGACGACACATGACTGTTTTGCGAAGGATTCCCCGACAGGGGTTAAGAAGACAAAGGCGTTGAATCAGAGAGGGTTTACAGTAATAGAGAGGTGACACTCGTGGCGGCGCTCCATAACAACAGTGCATTGTTTCGCGTATCGCCCGGCGCGGGGCGCGAAAACACTTACGCGCGGTGATTGCTGCCACGGCGATGTTCAGGGATGCTGTCATGTCATGAGAAAGTGTAGTACCGTCTGTACTTAGTTCACTAGGTTACTAGGCCTTTAAAGAAAGGAGGCCTGTGAATTCTATCGCATATTTTAGGCAACTCCCCTGCCTCCCTCGGCCATAAATTAAGACTTGTTTTTGGCATAAATTAACATAAATTCTAATAAACAAAAAAACAAACGAAGATACACTTTTGTTCGTCTCTATAGATCTGGAAAAAAATCCCCATAATTAAAGGAATAATCGGTTTAATTTTCAGCAAATCTGTTCGTTCTCCAGTGTCCCTCTGTCATCTTTCTCCCTCTCTGTCTGTCTGTCTGTTTTTTTCTCTCTCCCTGTCTCTTTTTCTTTCTCCCCCCTCTCTCCCTCTGTCTACATGTCAGTCTGTCTGTCAGTCAGTCTGCCTGTCTGTCTGTCTGTCTGTCTGTCTGTCTGTCTGTCTGTCTGTCTGTCTCTTTCTTTCTTTTTCTCTCTCCCTGTCTCTTTTTCTCTCTCCCTCTGTCTACCTGTCAGTCTGTCTGTCAATCTGTCTGTCAGTCAGTCTGCCTGTCTGTCTGTCAGTCTGCCTGTCTGTCTGTCTGTCTGTCTGTCTGTCTGTCTATCTGTCTCTTTCTTTCTTTCTTTCTTTCTTTTTCACACCCTCTCGCCCTGTCTATCAGCGTATCTGTCTGACTGTCTGTTGGTTTTCTCTGTCTGTCTGTCTGTCTCTCTTCTTCTCCCCCTTCTCTCGCTCCGTCTATTTGTCTGTCTGTCTGACTATCTCTGTCTCTGTCTCTCTGTGTCTCTCTCTCTCTCTCTCTTTCTCTGACAATCTTTCTCCCCTCTATAGCTCTGTTTATTTGCCTGTCTGTCAATCTGTTTCTCTGTCTCAGTTTCTGTCTGTCTGTCTCTCTCTCTTTCTCTCTCTCTCTCTCTCTCTCTCTCTCTCTCTCTCTCTCTCT